GTCCAGCACGGTGCCTGGGGCTGGAAAGCCTTAGCCCTGCTACCTTCCTCTTGTCCCCAGGGTTTCATATCCACTGGTGGTTCTTCTGGTCGAGGAGGTAGGGCAGACCACATGGGATGATGGGATACAGAAGTAATGAGGTAGACATTGACAGGATAGCCCCTGCCTGTCAGTTCCCTACTATTGTCCCTATCCACTCTACATGGCCTGCCCATTGCAACTAGGAGGCTGAGTAAGAAACAACATATCATTGATCTTGGGGACAACGGAGAAGGATATAGGTCAGATACACTGGGGAGGGGAAGGATGGAGTGGTTGAGGTTGGATGAGGAAGGATTAGGGCTTAAGTGTTCTGAGGTATGGGGAGGGGCATTAACTCTTGAATTAGAGGACATGTAACCAACCTACTGTCCCTCCCTCACCCCCGCATCATGAGTTTAGCTCACTCCATGTGGGGCATTTGGTCAGCCTTGATGCTATTGCTATTACTATCATTCAGTATATGGAGGGGTTCCTAGGTGGCTCAGTCAGTTGAGCATCTGACTCTTGGTTTCAGCTCAGGCCATGGGATCGAGCCCCACCTCAGGCTCCAGGCTCAGTGGGGAGTCTGCTTGAAGAATCTCTCCCTCTGCCCCTCCCCCACTTTAACATGCTTGCTTTCTAAAATGAATGAATAAATCTAAAAAAAAAGAAAAATTATACGAAGTGTCTAATTTGTGCCAGTGCTATGTTGGGTGCCTTGGACACAGCAGGAACAAGACAAAGTCTGAGCATCATGAGATTGACAGTCCAGTGGGGAGTAATGAATGATAAACCAAACCCAGAAATATTTAGTATCAGGTCAGATGGTGGTACTTGCAACACAAATACAGTACAAAATAGGAAGTTGGTCACAAGAAGTATTATTTCACATACAGTGGTTGGAGGGGGGTGTCACAAAGGGTTGTCCAAAGAATGGAAAGGACAGCAAGCTGCATGGGCATTGGGGAAGCAGAGTACTCTCAGAGAACATAGCTGGGCAAAGTAGAACAAGCTTCCTTGATGTTAAGAAAACCCGGGGTTTAGCTGTTTTTTTTTTTTTTTTTAAAGATTTTATTTGTTTATTCATGAGAAACACACAGAGAGAGAGGGGCAGAGACACAGGCAGAGGGAGAAGCAGGCTCCATGCAGGAAGCCCGACGTGGGACTCGATCCTGGGTCTCCAGGATCAGGCCCTGGGCCAAAGGCGGGCGCCAAACCACCAGGCCAACGGGACTGCCCCGGGGTTTAGCTGTTGAGAATAAAAATGCTTACCAGCTACAACTGCAGGCTCTCCGGACCATATGCTCCCTTTTATTATAGTTATAATTTTACACTATAAACATTAAATGTAAACATGTAAAAACACAAATAATTGAAGTGTTATGTGAAAGTTTGATATAAAAATTACATAATTCAATAATTGCACAATACATATATCATATAAAATAAACATTTTATTATAAGGAATATACAATAAATATTATAGTGTGCTATATATTGTAAATATACAATATTACTATAGTTTGTAATGATATGCACATATAAAATTATAGAAACCTATCTATATTTATAATCTAATATCTAATCATCTTTTATCAAATATAATTTAAATTATTACATGGTAAAATGTAATACTTTTGAGATTCATCCACGTTGTAGCTTGTGTCAGTAAGTCATTCCCTTTTGTGGTAAGTAGTATTCCCTTGTATAGATGTCCTACAGTTTGTTGAATTACTCACGCACTGATGACATGTGGGTTGTTCCCAATCTTTTGGCAACTGAATATAGTTTCTGTGAACTCAATCCATACATAATTTTTCATTTCTCTAGGTTAAATATGGCTAATTTTATAAGAACTTACCAATTTTGGTTCAGAGTGGGTAAACTACTTTACCTCTCCAAGAGCAGCACATGAAAGTTTCCACTGCTTTACATCCTTGACAACTTTTGGTACTATTTAAAAAAAAAATTTTTTAAGCCATTCTTGTAAGTGTGTAGTAGTATCTCATCACAGTCTTAATTTGCATTTTCCTGACTAATGATGTTGAGCATCTTTTCATCAGCTTATTTTCCATCTGTATCTCATACAACCATGTGGATGAATCCCAAATACATCATAAAATGAGAGGTCAGATTCAAGAGGACATACATACATATGTACATACATACATATGGATACATGTATATTTCCATAATATTATGGAAAAAAGCAAAATTATAGAGACAAGAAACAGATCAAACTAGTGACTGTAAGAGGCTGGAAGTAGGGAGCAGGACTGCCTAAAAAGGGACAGGAAGAAATTCTGGGAAGTAAGGGAAGTGTGCTCTGTCTTGATTGTGGTGGTGATTACATAATTGAATGTGTTTGTCAAAACTCAAAATTGTATACTAAAAAGGTTGAATATTATTTTATATAAATACCTCAATAAATGTGACTTTAAAAATATATCTCAGTACTACAGTATAAGAATACATATAAAAGAGAAATAACTTAAAGTAATTTACAACAAAAGAACGTTTCCCTCTGTGAGGTGTGGGCACAGCCATGCAGATGTTGGTCAGATGCTTGTGTCAATTTATAACTAGTAATGTTAATAACAGGATACCCACACTGGTCTCCACTAGTCCTGCTACCTTAATAAGCCCGGACTTTACCTTAAGTCACTTCATTCTCCATAAGTCCACTTTATAGGTGAGGCAATTAATGCCCAGGAGGAAAGTTTGCTGGGTTGGCGCAGAATCCCCCAGCATTGGCACTAGGACTTGAATCCACACCCAGAGCCTTCACTATTCTGGTTGCATCATGGGAAGCTCAGTTTGTGGTCTCCTGGGGCCCTCAGATCCTCTCCACCCCACTCTGGGCCACTAATTCCCCAGAGGGTCTATGATGCTAGGATCTCATCCTCAACCCTTCTCCCTCTTCCAGGTTTCCTGTCCATGCAAACAGTGGGGATGTGGAGAAGCAAGGACTCATGAGCAACACAGGCAATGGGGAATCAGCATTGTTAGTAGGGATCAATAGGGGAAAAGCAAATACTACCAGGATTCAATGGAGGGGTCACAGATACTGTGTTACTGGGAAATGGGCATCTATAGACTTTTTGCTGATTATTAATGGAGGTCCTACAGGAAGAGTGATAGTGAAGATTCCACAATGCAGGTGAATAATGTAGAGTTTATGGTGCATTATCAGTCTTAACCTTATTTGTGGGGAGGGAAGCAGGTTAATGGCACTTAACAGTCTTCAGAGAAGGTACTGAGGACATCACCACATGCTGAGTTGGGGATCATTACAGACACTGCTAGGTGGGGAAATGGTAATTAGTCACCACTGTTGTGATGGACAAGTAATGGAGGGAGATCACAAACCATCCTACTATAAGTAAAGAGAAAGTATCAGAAGATATTAATAGTTGGATGGGGGGAATGGTACATCACAGCTCTCTATTCTGAGAACTGAAGTAAGTGCCATCAATCACTACTACATGAAAGTAATACATGGGGAATATGAAGGTTACTAGGCTTTAACACAGGTGAAGTAACAGACATTATGCTGGAGGTAAATGTGGAAGAGGTAATGAAAAGACCTCCAGACACTATTTCCTGGAATTAAGAGGGGTGGTAAAGACAGTACGGGAGTAAAATGGGGCGGGGGGGCATGGTCTCCACACACTTTCTTGAAGGGTCAGCAAACATCTTAAGTTGGGGCAGAATTTTGGGTAATAAGACATTTAGAGAAGCCTCAGATACAGTACTGGATGAAATAAAGGGGGTTACCAATGGGTTAACATTATATCTGCACAACTCTACTACTTCCCACTCCCAGTTATCACCAGTAGACTGACTTGGAGGAACCATTCTGAAGCTTCCAATTTGGCTGCCCAGCAGCTAGGTGTTGAATCAAACCCTCTGCCTGGATTTGAGAGATCACTGCTGCCAGTCTTGGGTCAGACACCTAACTTCCAAGGAAGGTCTGCACTATTTGCTGTCAGCCCCTACCTTCTATTACTTTGGGCCTGTCAGGGCATGAGGAATGGGTCTATAGTTAAGGGTCTGGGGTGGGGTAAGGTTGTGTATGCTAAAGTGAGCAGAATCTTCTGCAGTGATTTTGGAGCTCACTGTGGCATTTCAGAATTATGGTAAGAAATCCTGGAACACCAAGCATCTATATGGGATTCCCACTGCCTCAGTTTTCCCTTCTTTAAATTGGCTGGCATTAGGCCAAAAGGATTATGGTAATGTTTCAGCTTTAGGGCCAGGAAGGAGGCACAGCCCAGGTAAAAGCTAGAGATGAAAAAGCCTGGTGTTTTAGGCAAGTTGGTTCTCCCCATTGGAGCAATACAGAAAAGGTCAAAGGGTTAAACTGCAATACATAAAAGATCAAAGGGAAATTATGATGGGCTGGGTCAACACTCCAAAATGTGCATTTATGGAATACTTGTTGTCAGGCAAAGGTCAAGGGTCACAGTGGTGAACAAAATAGGGAAAAACATTCTAGTGTGGCAGCCACTGACAATTAAAATACACAGAGCATCATGGAATTAAGTGCTATAGATAAAGACATAGTCGGAAGGGGACCAACATTTTAAGCCAGGCAGGAAAGAAAGTACAGGATCCTCTATGAAGAGGTGTCCCTGGAAGACATGAAGGACCTAACCACAGAGATATGAGGAACTTTGTTCTTCAAAGAGAGTGCTGTAGATAGAGCACAGGCCCTGAGGCAGGACCTGAACTAGTATGTTTGAGGCACATGGGGAGAAGGTGCTTGTGGAGCCCATGGCATGAAGATGGACACAGAGAAGACATGAACAAATGTTGAGGTTTTTAAAATTAGTTACTGATTTGTTATTATTATAAATGTCATGTCATTAAGGAAAGCAAATAAGCTGGAAGAACTATGAATGACAGCAAAAGGGAGACTAGATGAAAAGTTGATCAAAATGACCAAAAAATTCTTACCTCAGAAACTTTCCTGAGGGTAGTGGTGGTTCACAAAACACTATGTTGGAGGATAAATGAGGGTCAGCTTTCTTGAGGTTAGTAGAGGTTCACAAAACACTATGCCAGGAGCTAAATGAGATAATGGCAGTTAGCAGAGTGTTTAGCACTAATGCACTTATGGGGCTCAGAAGACATTGTGGTAGGGACTGAGGAGAGTCAAAGACACCTTACTGATAGGTGATAAAGGAGGGTTAGAAGTCATGATGCTAAAGGATAATGGGTCAACATACACTCTGAGGTTTGTGTCCATACACATAAGCTTTTTTGCTGAGTTATCTCTTCCTTGATGGAAATACTCAATGGGGGCTGGATATACACAACCATGTTAGATTCAACAGAAGGATGAAAAAACACCTGAAACTGTTAAGACGATGTGTTCTGCAGCAAACATCTCACAGAACTTAGGGTTTGTCAGTATTATACATTGTTCCACCATTTAGCTTGTTAGCACTTTACCTATTCCATAGTAAACAGGATTATCATTAACATAACAAACCTCCCTATGCAGAATTTGGTAACAATGTTGCTTCACACATATTTTTTTAAGTAGGGTCCATGCCCAGTGCAGAGCCCAACACAGGGCTCGAACTCACAACCATGAGATCAAGACCTGAGCCAAGATCAAGTATTTTGATGCTCAACCAGAAAAACCACCTAGGTGCCTCAGTTCCATCATATTTTTCATGAGAAGCCTTCTTTAATCTGTCAAATGGACAAAATCCCTTTTTTTCCAGGATGAATGCCTCATGGTTTAATGAAGGTGGTGACAATGTAGGAAGGGTCCCCTTCATTCTGGGCCCTCTTCTGTTCAGTAATGTGAAACATTTTGATAGGGTATTTCTACTTATGATAATAAGCATATTTTCCTCCTGGAAAAATTCAATGATGTACAATCAGAACTGATCTTTTCTTATACTGTTCCTCTCAAGTGTGAATACTCTGATGGACATTGAGCACAGATTTCTGGACAAAGCCTTTCCCACAGACTACACACTTATAGGGTTTGTCTCCAGTGTGTGTTGTCTGGTGTTTATTCAAATTCGACCTATCTGTGAAAGCCTTCCCACATTCAGCACATATATAAGGCTTTTCTCCTGTGTGAATTCGCTGATGCACTTGAAGTTGTGATTTCTTAGTGAAAGATTTGCCACAGTCACTGCATTCATATGGTTTCTCTCCAGTGTGAATTCTATGATGTATAATCAACTCTGACTTCTGTCTGAAGGTCTTCCCACATTCAGAACAGATGTAGGGCTTTTCTCCAGTATGAGTTTTCTGGTGTTTACTGAGATTTGACCTGCCACTAAAGGCTTTCCCACAAACAGCACACACATATGGTTTTTCTCCTGTATGAATTGGTTGATGTACCAGGAGCTGAGATTTTGAGGTAAAGGATTTCCCACAATCATTGCATTCATAAGGTTTCTCTCCAGTATGAATTCTCTGATGAGTAATGAAGTTTGATTTCCGGATGAAAGCTCTTCCACACTCACTGCAAACATAAGGTTTCTCTCCTGTATGAATTTTCTGATGCACAATGAGTATTGATTTCTGGTTAAAGGCTTTCCCACATTCATGGCATTCATACTGCCTTTCTCCAGTATGAATTTTCTGATGTATATTGAGGTGTGATTTTTGGGTAAAGGCTTTCCCACAGGTACCACATTCATAAGGTTTCTCTCCAGTATGAATTCTCTGATGTGTAATCAAGTCTGACCTTTGTGTGAAGGCTTTTCCACATTTAGGACATATGTAAGACTTCTCTCCAGTATGAGTTTTCTGATGTGTAATGAGATTTGACCTGTTAGTGAATGCCTTCCCACATTTAGTGCACATATAAGGTTTCTCTCCTGTGTGAATTCGTTTATGTACATGGAGTTGTGACTTGGAAGTAAAAGATTTCCCACAGTGGCCACACTTATAAGGTTTCTCTCCTGTATGAATTATTTGATGTGCAATCAAGTGAGCCTTCTGGATGAAGGCTAGTCCACATTTCATGCATACATATGATTTTTCTCCTGTATGAATTCTCTGATGCACTGTGAGTGCTGACTTTTGAGTAAAAGCTTTTCCACAGTCACCACATTCATAAGGTTTTTCCCCAGTGTGAATTCTCTGATGTATAATCAGTTCTGATCTGTAAGTAAAGGCCTTACCACATTCAGTGCATATGGAAGATTTCTCTCTAATTTGAACTTTCTTATGTGTAATGAGGTTGGAACTATTGTTGAAGATCTTCCCATATTCAGTATATATAAAGGGTTTCATTCTTGTGTGAATTCGTTGATGTACCTGGAGCTGTGATTTAGAAATGAAGGACTTCCCACAGTTATCGCATTCATATGGTTTTTCTCCAGTATGAATCCTTCGGTGTGCAATCAAGTGTGTCTTCTGGATGAAGGCCTGTCCACATTCAATACATATATAGGATCGCTCACCTGTATGAATCTTTTGATGCATCTTGAGTGTAGACTTTTGCGTAAATGCTTTGCCGCAATCATTACATTCATGGTGTCTCTCTCCAGTATGAATTTTTTGATGTATACTGAGATCAGAGTTATAAGAGAAGCCTTTTCCACATTCACTGCATTCATAAAGTTTTTCTCCAGTATGAATTCTCTGGTGCCTTAAGAGAGAAGACACTTGGAAAAAAGCTTTTCCACATTCACTGCACTTATAGGGCTTCTCTCTAGTATGGGCTCTCTGATGTGTAATGAATTCTGGCTTCTTTACAAAAGCTTTCCCACAGTCAATGCACACATAGAGTTTTTCTCCTGTATGAACTTTCAGATGTACCCTGAGCTGTGACTTCTGGGTGAAGATCTTTCCAAATTCAGCACATTCATAAGATTTTTCCCCAGTATGAATTTTCTGATGTTGAGAGGGTGCTTGTTTATAGCTGAGAATTTTTCCACATTGATTATGGTCCCATAACTTCTCTCCTGTTGGAGAACACTCAGGGTCAGTATAGTAAGAAATTTTACTATATTCAGTAATCTTATTAATGTTCTTTGAGGTACTGTTTCTATAATGACTGTGTAAATCTAAAGCATGCTTGAAAGCAATTCCAAATGAGTCACACTGATGGGATCTTTTTGGAGAAAGAATGTTTTGGCTCACATAAATTATTTTTCTAATGTCCTTATATTCATAATCCTTCTTTGTTGTCAAAATTTTCTTGTTGGCAACATCTCTTAAAGATTTGTTTTCTTTTTGCTGATAGCTCTCTATCTGGTCACCAATCTGCCACAAATCTTCTAGAATGAAATACAACAAAATATCACTTGAAGCATCACCTTCCTTCTCAATGTAGAAAGAAGCTTTTTCAGAAACTCTCTGCTATGAGGTTTGAAACCTGAACTCTCCTCAAAAGAGGATGATGTTTTAGCTCAAAGACCAGTTAGCAGAGGCTAGAGAGGAAATATGGCTCATCCACGTTGAACACAAAGAAAAGGGTGAGAATAACTCATTTAATGGAAAGGCTAATGAAAGTGGTAATAGGAAGCATTCTAGAATATAATTCAATGGTTAGAGGAAATAAACTTTATGAATATAATCCACCATGAACAGAAGTGGAAAAAGTAAGGCAAAGAACAAGATATACAGCATAGCAATATTTATATAAATTAATAATACATACTCCAAGTCACCTTCAAATTTAAAATATTCATGAATTAAAAAATATGTTTCCATCATGTAAAACAAGTGCCTACAGTGAAAAGTGAGATGGGTGTTGGGGAAAAAGAAATGGTAATAAATCAAAAAATAAAATATAAGAGTTCCACCATTATCTGAAGGGGACATGTTCCAAGACCCTCATTGGATGCCTGAATCCTCAGACAGTACTGAACATGATTTTTTTTGTCAGTCAAGAGCTTTCAGCTTTTCACTTAAAGGAAGCACTTTATGGCTTCTCTCTGGGATACTAGAATTGCCACTATCACTATTCTTATGCTTTGGGGGCACTGTTAAGTATAATAAGGGTTACTTGAACAGAAGCACTGCAATATCATGAGAGTCAATCGATAACCAAAATGTCTACTAAGTGACTAATGGTTAGGTAGCATTTAGAGCATGGATATACTGGACTAATGGATGATTCAACTCCCAGGTGAGATGGAGTGGGATGGCAAGAGATTTCATGATGCTATGCAGAAAGGCACACACCTTAAAACTAATAAATTATTGCTAGGATTTTCCATTTACTATTTCCAAACCATGACTGACTATGAGTAACTGAAAATGCAGAAAGTGAAACTGCAGATAAGGGCCAACAACTGTAAAAGAGAATCTTTACCCAGACTGATGACATTGTGCCCTGAATAAGGGCAATGATTAAACTCAAACTTCATCATGTGAAGTACAGATATAAAGCAAATACAAAAATCAGCCAACAAGGCACATAAGTCCCAGTTAGTGTGAAGTCAACCAACAATGAATGGAAGGAAATAACAGAAAAGTACTCCTAAGGGTTAAGTGACAGTTACCCCCAAGGCATCAATTGGGTGAAAGGCAGGGGGAATGAGCAAGTAAGAAATCTTATGTCAGTACCTATAGAGAAAATAGGAAGAGAGCCTGGTTGGAGTTAATGTTCTCAAGCATCTCATAGTGAAAAAAAGAAATGACAGAGGTCTACCAGGAGTGGGAATGTGCGAGTTACAGTAACTGAAAGAAAGCAGATCCACCAATGCCTGAAAGCATGAAGAATTTCAGACAATGGGGAAGGCAGAAAGAAAAAGAATGTTTGAGAAAAGAAGCATAACCAAAAACAAAAAACAAAAAACAAACAAAAAAAAGAAAACCTTTAATGAGGAAGATATTAGCATGTGATCAAGATTCCAAAAAGCCAAAGAAAAAGATGATTAGACATGATAAAGGCATTTAGTTATCTGAGAGGCCAATGTCAAGGGTCTTCAAGCAATAGAAAAAAAAAAAAATGCTAAGGACTTCCAAGAGTCCCCTTAATAGCATTTTAGAGATGCCAGTCTTTCTCAAGACAGCTGAGATTTGCTCTCCTTTCTCTCATCTGTCTGGGTCATGCTCACTTACCTGGACAGTTCTGATGTGGGCTCTCACCCTGCAATGCCCATGGCTCCTTTCCTTGCTCCAACATGAAAACTTCTGGTTGGGGAACTTCATACCCTGTTTGTGAGAAATTATAAAGGATTAGATCCAGCTAATTGTGTTTCAAAGTGCAAACAAAAAAGTCTTGTTCAATGAGAAAGTAACCATATATTTCTGGGAACAGAATATTCAGAATGCTCAAGGGGATAAAGAATCCTAGATAAACCAAGGATAAAACAAGCATACTTCAGATATTCCATAGCATTTAGCAACTAAGAATAGAAATACTCTGTGTGGACCCAATTGACTGTGCTTACCTACAGAGAGCAGGTGACTATAGGTCTCCAGCATCACATCCCGGTACAGGTTTCTCTGAGCAAGGTCTAGATGCTGCCACTCCTCTCTGCTGAAATCTACAGCGACATCCCTGAAGGACACCGATCCCTGTAAGGGCACACTGCTGTTCAATGTGAATAGATAGCTTTGGGAGATGGAGAGACTATATTTAGGAATATGGAATATGGGTTTTGTCAATTTTTTTTGGTTTCGTTATTTCCTCTTTTTAAAAAAATATTTTAAAAGATTTATGTATTTTAGAGAAAGCAAGCACAAGCAAGAGGGGCAGAGGGAGTGGGAGAGAGAATCTCAAGCAGATTCCATGCTGAGTGCAGAACCCAAAGCAGGGCTCAACCTCATGACCCTGGGATAATGACGTGAGCTGACACCAAGAGTTGGATGCACAGGCAACTGCACCACCCATGCACCACTACTTCTGCTTTTTATAAACTCATCTCCCATTTCCTAACATTATACAAAATTTTAAATGTACAAAAAATTTAAAAGAATCAGCATAGTAAAACCTGTATACCCACCACTTAGGATCTATCATCAACATTTTACTCTATTTTATCACACATTTATTTTATTTTTTAAAGATTTTATTTATTTATTCATGAGAAACACAGAGAGAGGCAGAGACACAGGCAGAAGGAGAAGCAGGCTCCTCGCAGGGAGCCCGATGTGGGACTCAATCCCTGGACCCTGGGATCATGCCCTGAACTGAAGGCAGATAACCACGAAACCACCCAGGCATCCCTATCCCACATTTATCCATCCTTTTATCCAGCATCAGTCCACCTTACTTTTATGCAGTTGAGAATAAACTGTAAATTACAGTACACTTTGTCCTAAATACTTGAGAATGCAAATCAAGTAGAGTATATTTACCTTTCTTAAGTAAAATTTATGCAAAATGAACTGTACAAATCCAGTGTGCCATTTGAAGTTTTGATAAATGCATACACTAATACAGGAACTTTTAAAAAATATTTCATACAGGAAGCACATTAAATATCTAGTTTTACACAATATTTTGTGGAAGAAAGAAATCCAATAAAGAATTTCTGCCATTTGTTCTATATTTCAGTTAATTACTTGTTTTTCAAAACTCAAGAATGAAATAGGCTCTCTTTTAGTCTTCTAGCAAATGGATGAATGACCTATGATACAGTTCCTGAGTAATTTAGGACCAGCCATTAGCTCCTCCTGGGAACAAAGAAATGAATGATTTACGTTTCTAATCCTCTAGCAACTTAAAACACTTAAGATTTAAAAGAAGGGGAAAAGAAGACACACAGTTCACTAAAGTGTCAAAAAACAAATCTCTTAAGTAAAATACACTGAGTACCTACAAAAGGAAAGTGTATTTGATATGGGGCAGTACATTTTTATTAGTTGAATTTAAGTTGAAAGATGATAAGCATAATAAAGAATGGAGGGCGGGAAAGGTCATTTCCCAGAGAAGAAAAGTAAAGGTGAGGAGATAGGAAAATACATGATAAGTTTGGGGAACACTAAATAGCTCTATATAATGGAGAGAAGTCTGTATAATATGTCACAAAGGTAGTTATGGAAAAAAACCAATCTGATCACAGAACAAGGATTTTTTACTTTTACTAAAAGTAAGGTAATTAGATTGATGTTAACTTTTTTCATATAAGATCCCTATTGGAGGATAACCAAATAAAAGATGAAAAATTTCTTATAGAATGATTCTAGCTAATAAATAAGGAAGTTAGAATATCATAATTTTATAATTCCTAATGAAATAGTGAATTTATTCAGTAATCATTATTGGTTGCTTAACTATTTCAGGTGAAAGGCAGAAAAGAAGTTTACAATGGATGGACCAGCTAATAACATCCATATCCAATTATCAATTTTAACACTCAAAAAGAGATAACCAAAAATTATCTGCCTCCTGACACTGATATGGTAATTATTTCATTATACCATCCATTAAGTATTCTCATTAAAGAAAAAGAAAAATGCCACCTGAATCTATTAAGCCTCTGGGTCTAATAAATTATTCATAGATAAAGTGAAAGAAAGAGGAACATACTGAACTATATTAAGATTGAAACATCAGCTAAATCCAGAAGGTGACAAATGGCCCATTTCTTCAAAAAATAAATTATATTAGAAAAAATAATGGAAGGGAATCTTTTATTAAAAGAGTCTGAGGGGGTGTACCTGGCTGGCTTAGTACAGCAGGTGACTCTTGATCTCAGGGTAATGAGTCTGAGTCCCACATTGAGGGTAGAGATTACTTAAAAATCTTAAAAAAAAAAAAGAGAGAGAGACTTAGGAGTCATACTAACCAAATGCAACTTGTAGACATTGTTTGGCCCTTAACTAAAACTAATGTTAGAAAGATTTTTATGACATGTTTAAAAAGACTCAAACAATAATCAGGTACTAGATCATATCTAGGAATCACTGTTGTTTGTAATAATGACTTAATGGTTTTGTTAAAGAAAAAACAATTCTCATATCTTAGAGATACTTGTCAAAGTATTTGCAGATAAAATAGGTATTTGAGGGCAGCCTGGGTGGCTCAGCAGTTTAGTGCCACCTTCAGCCCAGGGCATGATCCTGGAGACCCGGGATCGAGTCCCACGTCAAGCTCTCTGCATGGAGCCTGCTTCTCCCTCTGCTTCTCCCTCTGTGCCTCTCTCTCTCTCTCTCTCATAAATAAATAAAATCTTTAAAAAAAGATAGGTATTTGAGATTTGCTTTAAAATAATTCAGCAGCTAAGGGGGCAGAAGGGTAGTTTTAGATGGAATCAGAATGACAGAGTATGACTAACTAAAGCTAGGTGATAAGTACAACAGATACAAGGGCTCCTTATACTACTTTATTTACCTCTGTATACATATTTTTCATAACACAATGTTTAAGAACATGATCTTCCATATTAAAAAAATTTAATCTGTAAATGCATAATTGAAGGAATGGGCTACCTGGACTCATAAACTTTTGAAAAAAAAAAAAAAGGATTACAGGAAGGGCACCTGGGTGGCTCAGTCAGTTGAATGTCTCTTACTTTCAGCTCAGGTCATGATCTTGTAGTCACGAGATGAAGCCACACTTCATCATACATACAGTCTGCCTGGGGGCTCTCTCCCTCTGCCCCTCTCCCCACTCATCCCCCCTTCTAAAATAAATAAATCTTTAAAAAAAAAAAAAGGATTCTAGGAAACTGAATACCCACACTCAGCAATTTACAGAAACAGTAGATAAGAAATAATCATTCATATAGAAGAACTAGAATCTAATCGATATTTATAGAATATTCCAACTGTTCAACAGTGAACACATTTTTCAACGACCCATAGAACAATGACCGATATAGACCATATTCTAGCCTGCAAAACAAGTTAAAATAATACATAGCCTCTCTGACCATAATGGAATCAAACTAAAAATAATTAACAAAGAAAACAGAAAAATATGCAAAGGAATTGTATTACAAAATAATAACAAAAGCTATCTGGAAAGCCACAAAATATTTGGAAATTAAACAATACATTTCTATATAACCTTTAAGTCAAAAAGGAATTCTCAAAAGAAATTCAGAAAATACATAAAACTGAAAGAAAGTGAAAATACAGTTTATCAAAATCTGTGGGATGCAGATAAAACAATGCTGAAAGGGAAATTAAGGGACTAAATGCTTACGTTAGAATATAGGAACCAATCCAATTAAAAAATGGCCAGAAGATCTGAATAGACATTTTCCCAAAAACATACAGAAGACCAATAGGTACATGAAAAGGTGCTCAACATCACTTATGCATATTAAAACTATAATGAGACACCTTACACCTGTCAGAATGACTATTATCAAAACAAACCTAAAAACAAGTACTGACGAGGATGTGGAAAAAAGGGAAGCCTGTGCACTGCAGGTAAAAATGTAAATTGGGGGATCCCTGGATAGCTCAGTGGTTTAGTGCCTGCCTTTGGCCCAGGGCATGGTCCTAGAGTCCCGGGATCGAGTACCACATCAGGCTCCCTGCATGGAGCCTGCTTCTCCCTCTGCCTGTGTCTCTGCCTCTCTCTCTCTCTCTCTGTCTCTCATGAATAAATAAAATGTTAAAAAAATAAAAATAAAAATGTAAATTGGGGGGCAACTGGAGACTCAGTTGGTTAAGTGTTCAAACTCTTGACCTCAGCTCAAGTCTTCATCACAGGGTCATAAGTTCAAACCCCACATTGGGCTCCATGCTGGGCATGGAGATTACTTAAAAAAAAAAAAAAAAGCAAATTAATGCAACCACTATAGCAAATAGTATAGAGGTTCTTCAAAAAATTAAATCTAGAACTACTAAATGATCCAGCAATTCCACGTCTAGGTATTTATCCATATATATACGCAAGGATGCCTGGGTGGCTCATTTGGTGAAGCCTCTGACCCTTAGTTTCGGCTCAAGTCATGATCTCATGGGTTATGAGATCAAGCTCCATACTGGGCTCTCTGCTTGGCACAGAACCTGCTTGGGATTCTGTCTCTCTTCTGCCCCTCCCTCCACTCACACACACACACACACACACACACACACTTTCTCTCTCTCTAAAACAAATCTTTAAAAAATTATATACATGGATCCCCCCATGTTTACTTCAGCAAGGTTTATAATACCGAAGACATGAAAGTAACCTGTCCATCAATGGATGAATGTCTAAAGAAAATGTGATACTGGGATTCCTGGGTGGCGCAGCAGTTTAGCGCCTGCCTTTGGCCCAGAGCGCGATCCTGGAGACCCGGGATCGAGTCCCACGTCGGGCTCCCGGTGCATGGAGCCTGCTTCTCCCTCTGCCTATGTCTGTGCCTCTCTCTCTCTCTCTCTCTGTGTGACTATCATAAATAAATAAAAATTAAAAAAAAACTTAAAAAAAAAAAGAAAATGTGATACACACACACAGTGGAATATTATTCAGCCATAAGGAAAGGAAAGAAGTCTTGCCATTTGTGATAGCATGGATGGACCTTGAGGATATTATGCTAAGAGAAATAAGTCAGAGCTGTACAATTACGATATGATCTCATTTATTTGTGAATATCAAGTGAAACAATAAAATGAAGAAACAAAAGTCACAG